CAGCAGCGTGCGATTGGGGCGCGTTGCCGGGCAACGGGCGGCAGCGGTGAGGGCCCGGCCCGGCCCGGCCATGTCGTCCTTGCGCGGCGCCGACCCCGCGCTCCGCAGATACTTCCAGCGCCACGGGCTGCCCGACGTCTACGAGGTACGGCCCGACGGGAGGGCCCCCCTCCAGGGCGGGGGAGGCCCCGGCCCGGCCACTGTCTCCGGATCAGCGAGTCCAGAGGCCTCTGCCCCGGCCGGGAATCCTGCCCTCCTCACGCACAAACGCTGCCGTGGCCTGGGGCGGCAGAGGCCGACCCCCAAGCATCCCCGCCGGGCCCGAGGTGTCACGCTCACCTGTCTGCACGGGGGGCGCGAGCAGGAGTCGCCACCTCTCGTACAGTCCAGCCACGTATTTAGTAGATGCCGCAGACGTTAGGGCCAGAAGGGACCTTGCGACATCGTCAGGCCCAGCTCCCCGCCTAAAGGGCGGGAAGTCAGCTGGTGTCACCCCGCTGCCAAATTTCTGGCTAGCAGGATGACAGAACTCCACCAGCCCGTGCCGCGGTCACCCCTGCGCTAAGCCCCCTTGTAGTCAAGCTGTACCCACAGGTGAGCAGTGCTGGCCCCTATACAATCCTGAATCGAAACTCGCCATAAAGCTGCCGTCAACCCGGACACAAGACCTTGCAGCCTGCCCTGCCTCAAGTAAAGCAGGGGGACCAGGCTGAGTACAGACTTCTGTGGAGGTTAAATCGGGTTCAGCATGGCCACCCGATTTAAACTGAGCTCATCCCGGTGCCGACCTGGTGACTGGCAATCAGTCTGAACCTGGAACTGTACAGAAGTTTCATGTACCCAAACCAGTCTAACAGAGCCTGGTTTACAATAAGCCTGGATCTATGTAGTATCAAACTTGTTCGATTTAAGTCAAACCAGTGCATGGAACTTGTGTACGCTTTCCCTGCACAGCCCTGGAGCTGCTCTTTTCACACCCCTCCCCCCACGCTTGCGCTGGGCTATTTTTTGCCCTCCTGGCCCCTTGTTTCTCACCCCACCCACCAGCCACCCCTCTCAACCCCCATCCCACAACCGGTCCAGGTACAGCTGCTTTTAGCAGTGTTTGCTGCTATCAGAGCCAAGCAAGTAAGTCCTGGTGGGGGGAGGGGCTAGGGGGCTGGAGGTGTAGGTTAGCTGGGGGAATCAGAGGACTAAAAGCCCGATCCCCCTAAATCCCCCTATGGACCCCGGCATAGGAAACGCTTAGGGAGGGCATGGGGTGGACAGTAGGGAGTACTGAGATTGGCTGTCACCGGTGTCTGCAGGCAGTCACTGCTCACCAACTGTTCCCCACTGCTGCTGGCTTCTGTGATCAGTCACTGCTCATCAGTCGCCCCCCCTCACCACCACTGCTGCCAGCAGCGTATGCAACTGGTCCCCTCTCGATGCTTGCCATCCTCCCCTCCACCAACACTGCCTCTGGCATCTGCGGCACTCCCTGCTTGCTACTTGCTGTCGACTACAAATGGTGCCCCCCCAGTCTCAGGAGGCACCAGTCGTTCATGGACCCCACGACCTCCCTGATCTCTTCAGACACTTCTGGACCCCAGCAAAACCCTATGCATTGTGCCTGACTTCTCCCTACCCACGGGTCACGCCCTGGCCTCTCACCCCTTGAGGGTTGCTCCTGCCCCTTCCACCTCACCCGCAGCTTGTGCCTGTCCCCTCCACCTCTCATGAGTTGCGCCTCCCTGCCATTCCCCAGTGGACTCCTGATCCTCCTGAGTCTGTTGGAGCCCCAACCCCTGCTGGCCTCCCATTCTGACTTACCCGATATCAGGCAGTCATTTTGAAATGATTTAACTTCCCCGAATGTCTGTACTTAGCCTAAAAGATTGTTACTGGACATTCAAAAGATTCCAGGAAGAGGCCTCACCTCCCCTGCCGCCACCAGAGGAAGGTAAAACTTCCCACAGTTGGTACCAAGGTGTCTATGGCTTAAAATTCCTTCCTGACCCCAATTATGGTGATTAACCTGACCCTGAGCACAAAACAGAAAAGATTGCAGCCTTCTTTGTCTTAAATGGTAGAAAAGTTGTTTTTAGAAACTTCAGGTGGAAGACTATAGCATGCAGGGTAGCAGAGCACTCTCCTCAAGTTGCAGTACTGCATGTTGTAATTGCCATACAGCCAATAATTATATCAAATAATTATAATATCAATAATTATATCAAAGATGACTATGGCAAATCTTAGAATTTGCTAGGGCATATGTTGGTCACCCACAGTGTCAAAAGGGGTTTGAAGATTTGTTAAACTGCTGAGCTAGTGACTAGAATTGCATGCCATGGTGCTAAGAAGCATAGGGGAGACATGGCTTACTTGAAGTCACAAGTGCTCCAGGGATAATAAAATAAATACACACTTTTGGCTTTTGGATTGTTATCTGATCCTCCCATCCTTTTTCTTCCCTCAGCCAGTTTTTTCCTTTTGAAGTTCAGTTGAAACTATGCAGAAGTCGTATATCAGTTTCCTTAATAGTAACGAATTAGGACACTGTGTACAAATAAACTGCCAAAAATAGACCCAACTTGTAGCCAGTTATTGCAGCCTTAATTTCCATGGGAACATTAATAAAGAGGTTTTAAACCAGTAAAAATAACTGTAGAGCAGCACCTCCCCCAACAGGGGTAAAGCATCAGGGGTGCACATACACCCCCTGAGAGCACTGATGCACCCCTGACCGTCTGCGCTCCCCACTTAGGCAATGGGCAGGGGGGCAGGCGGGAGCACCGGCGCCCTCCCCTGTGAGCGCTGGCCGGGGAGTAAGCGTGCCGGATGTAGCACTGCGGCCGCTTCCAGGAGCACCATAGCCACTTCCTGGTCAGTGAGTTCTGCTGCGGGGGGACCGCCCCCCAGTCAGCAAGATTGGCCATGGGAGGCCCCTTCCTCCAGTCGCTGACTGGTCGCTGGTGGGGGCATGTGCCCCCCGTGACTAAGGTGGCACTAATCGCCCGTGTCCCCCAATCCTCCTAAGTTTTACTTGGTGATATGCTTGATTCCTTAAACTCAGAAAAAAAATAAGCTGAATCTTGATAAGATGATACTCTTGAATAAATACTTTAAGAATAGTTCAAACCACATTTAATGTTAAAACTTCCAAACAAAGTTTATAAATAGTCTTAAAATAACAGTTATTACAATTTAATTAGCAAACTAAAAAAAAAATAGGTTTGAGTTCACTTTCAAAGGAAATAGTTTATTGCTATTTCTTACTCTTTTTTTTGTTATATTCTATTATTGCTTATGGCATATTTCCAAAGTAACAAAATTGTGCTTGGCACCCCACAAACAAGATGATATTAATTCTACCCCAAGGAATTTACAATTTAAGCCCCATGCTGCAAATACTTATGCAGGTGCTCAACTATGAGCTAACAAACTACTCATGGTTGTAAAGTAACCTGCTACATGAGCGTTTGCAAAATAAGGGTTCTGCAAGTCAAAACATGCTCAGAGTGATTAGGTCCAAGTGATACATTTTATGTTTGAGGCACCATCCAAGATCTGATCTAGGGAGACACTGCCCTCTACTTCAAATCTCTTGAGACTCACTCTTGTGCTGTGCTCATAAGAAAACCCTGATTATGCAACACTTACCCTCATTGAAAAGGGTAGTCCTATTTACTCATAGTATTAATATTAGGCATATGCATATATGCTTACAGGATTGTGCCCTTTGAGTATAAGACTTTCGTGGCAAAGACTGTGGGCCAGAATAAAAAAAGGAGTAGGTGCCTAAAACAGGATGTAGGCTCTTAAGTCCACAACTGCAATCCACAAAAGTCCCTACTTCGCAGCCACTTATTCCTAGAGTTGTTTAGACATCCTAGACACTTCAGTGCTTGGTCTGAAAAATCTCTACCTCTCTAGATATCAGCTTCAGTACT